CCCCCGTCCTCCAAAAAAAAAAAGAAGAAAACTGATTAGGTGAAAAATAGCAAAATTTTGTGAAAAAATGAAAGGGTCTATGGTTTTTGTCAAAATAGGACAATTTTTCGACTCTTTTGTGTTATTTGGCATCTCGGATCATTCATCTGTGGCATCTACCGACCCTCGAATGAAAAATCACAACACACAAAAAAACTACTATTTGAGAAAAGTAACCCAATTGTGTGAAAAAAAAAACCGCAAAGGATAGCTTGTGGTTTTGAATTTCAACCCTTCTCTTTTGTGTGTGTGTGTGTGTGTGTTCTGTGGCACATGCGAATCAAACTAAGGTGTTCTGTGGCACCTACGGGTCCTACAAGTGGAAGAATCATCAAAAAACTACTAGGTGGAAAACAGCCCAATCTTTTTTTTGGAAAAACGCAAAGAGTTCGTGGTTTTTTTCAAAATTAGAGGATTTTTGACCCTGCCATTTACCGGTTGTTTTGTGTTCCTATGGACGACAAAACACCATCTAAGTTTTCAAATGCCAAATAAAACCAACGTTTAAGCTTAATAATATCTAATTAATTCATTAGGCATGTTTAGGCAAATTCCGGCATAATTCACAACAATTTTAAAATGCTATGATAATTGTGTTAAAGATGATTGAAGCATAAAGTTATTCGGTATTTTCTTGATCCTTGGGCTACAATAATATGAGAATCAGTCGAAAACGACTAGGTGAAAATTAGCCCAGTTTATATATACCCAATGGGTCTATAATTATAGTTGGTAGACCGGTGGAAACATTCAATATCGAAACAGAGAATTATTTCCAAATATGGTAGAAACATTCAATATCAGAATTAAAACAGAATTATTTTCAAATATGAAGAATACAATAAAATACCGGCTGAAATAGGCCTATGTATATATACACTGGAACGATAATAAATATATGTACAAGTGAGTTTAAAAACACTATCACAAATATTTAGACTAGGCCTACTGTTGAGCTCTTTGTTGCATAAATTCGATATTATATAACTTAGTATGTTAATTGTTTCTGTTACTAATTTAAAGTGTAGAAACAAACACCAATAAATAATATCATAGAAAGTGCTGTGTTGAAGAAGTTAGGCCTACCTATTCATGTCTTTACCGGATGAATTTTGTTGTCTTATCTTGTAAACATTGACAGTGCCACTGCAATGATTTAATTAACCTTCACGATTGGAAACAAGGTAATTGAAAACTCCGCACTGGCCGGACTTTTTCAATTTCCCCTTCTATTAGGCCTACATCGGCTAAAATACTAGAAGAAAGCGAGAAAATAGAAATACGGACTGGAAATCATTGCACAATTAGTCATTAGGAAGCGTAGTCAAGTCTTAGGCTTTTTCATAATAGGGTCAGGGGGAAATGAAATAGTTGAGCAAATTATAGATTCTGCAACGGAGGAAAAAAAATAGCATTTGCATCTGCTTGAGCTTCGCTACATCGTTCACTCGTATGCAGTCAGTCACGAGGCTAAGACTGTTCTGGATGTTGTACTTATCAGTAGTCCCATAAGATCTGGAAAATAGAATAGGTAGAAGAATATTTTTATTCCATTGTACTGCTGAAGTTTATTGTTCAAGTTATGGATAAGCGAAGGAGGCATATGTTTTAACGTCGCACATCCTTAACTTCAAGGTATGTTCAATGTTTTGATTTGATCTTTTATGCCTACTTTAGCCGGTATTTTATTGTATTCACATTTGGAAATAATTTTGTGTTTTAATTTCTATATTGAATGGATGTAGGCCTATATTGATATAAACTGGAAAAAAAACGTCTTTGTTAAACTGCTTGGAAGATCTTTTTTACATTCATTGACGGTCATAATTTTTAGATTTTCGGAATATCTCATTGGTTTTATTGCGTTCTTTATATCTGAAAATAATTTTTTGTTTTTATTTTTATATTGCATGAATGAAGTATTGATCAATAAACTGGAAAAAGTGTTTGTTAAAACCGTTTTAAAGATCTTTTTAATATTCCAGGAAAGATTCATGTTCAATGTCTTGATTTTCGGAAAATCTCATGGGCCTACATGACCCTATTATCCAACATATTATTTGGAAATAATTCTATCTTTTGATTTGGGATAAACGAACTTTTAAAAAAAAACTTCTTTAATATTTACCGTCATGTATTTCGATTAAGTTTTGACGTTTATATGTAACAGATACATTTAATGTCAATGAATCTTTTTTGAGGAGTAATAAGTGTTTTGAATATTGAAGAAATATAACATTTTATAGTTGTACTCAAAATTTCAACTTCACATCTTAAATAGACATGTCTTCAAGCAAACAAACAAACGAGGATGTTTTATTAAGAACATATGTCCCTACAGGTACATCTTGTAGAATAGGCCTAAACTACTATATGGTGTTTTTGCATTAAGATGTAACGTAAACCTCAATATTATAAATATAGACATATTTTTAATTCTATTGGTTTGTTTTTCTATGGAGCGAGTCAGCTGTTTGCTACGTGGCACTACTTATAATTATGTAGAACATCCTTTTCCGCAGTATAGATCTTGGCATGACATTCGCCTACTATTGCCTCCATCACAAACTCGGCTGGTTGTGCTTAGATTCGATACATCGGTCTAGCACACAATGACTAATGATTTCTTTTGTTAGCAGAGATAATTGAATCATTATGACTGAATACCAAAGCAACTTTTTTTGCATATAATAAATAAATCCATGATTTGGAATTTATAAAACTGTCTTAGAGGCACATTATTCTGCACATTATTGTTTTAATAAGATACATTTTAAAATTGTATACAAATTTTTAAAAAAAGATTATATGTAATATTTGATTTTATTTATTTTGTCATATTTTATATTACTATTATTTAAAACTTGTAAAATGTCATACAATTAGCATAAAAATTGACAAGAAAAGAAGTAGATTACATGCTGAGGCTATCTTGTATTGTTTCTCAAGAGCTAATATGACATGACGTGACGGGATCACCAACAAATAAACCAGAGTGCTTTAATGTGGTTGTTTATTGTAGTGTCGGTACATCAGAATAGTTGTAAAAAACAATCAACGTAAAAAAAAAACACAAACAAACAAAACAAAATAAAACAACACAACACAACACAAAAACAAACAATACATAAAACCCCAAAACAATAAATATGTATCAATTTGAAAGGTTATAATTCCATGTCTTTCATGGTATAATAGGACCGGTAGATTTAATATCTAAAATGAAAATGATAATTCAAAGTAATATTTTAGAATACACTTAACTTATCTTAAAGGAATTTTTTTGGAATTCTTACATCTGTAATTGAATATCGATTTGATAAAACTGTATATATTTAAAATATATATTTAGAAAAATACTTGGTACGTTTTCCTTTTCTGTCTGTCAGATATGATTTTATTAAGTTGTTTACACTGTAAGTTGTTAAACAAGGATGAACGGTTCAATCGTCTGCACAAAAGGTCAGAGTTTACAAAAAAATTATTCGTCAGCATAATTTTGATTGTGTAAAGTTGGCCTACATTTATGAAAACATCCTTAGGAAAGTGCATATCGAGTGTGGGGCGGTATATAGACATTCAATGTTATGTAATAAAATACATTATGATATGTTAACAAAGGTGTATACATTGTTATTATTATTATTATTATTATTATTATTATTATTATTATTATTATTATTCACTCTCTGGTCAGATGGCGCCAAGTTGCGCCGCTGTGGCCTTTACAAGAGCACACCATCTTCTGTCTTATGCCAGACAGAATAATAATAATAATAATAATAATATTATTATTGTTACAAATATTATTAAAATTATTATTGTAATCATCATCATTATTATCGTTATTATTATTGTTACCATTATTATTATCAATATCATAATCATCATAATGACCATTATCATTATTATTGTGGTTACTACTATTGTATTAGTAATAGTATTATAATATTTATTACTATTAATATTATCAGCAAATAATTTGGATATATTATTATTATTATTATTATAGAATTCAATTAGGTTTGCTGCGTAGCACCGTAAACACAGTCTATTTTCGTAACCGATAGTTTTATATATAATCGAATACAGCCTTCGCATATAATGATAGATTTATTTCCCTGGGAATGGCCGGATTATAAATCACAATGCTGAGTAAAGAAATTAAAAAATGACCTTTAGTTGGCCTACAATTTAAAATTAATATCAACAGATCGCACCTCCGTCTGAAGGCTACAGCTGCATCATAAGTCATAACCTTACATTTTAAACACAATAATTTCTTAACTGTATTTCAGTGAAAATGTTGAACATTGTTTTTTTCAAATTGCTTATTTTTCTTAAAGCTGTTAATTCAACTCGGCCACAGCAAGTTTCCACTGAAGTTCCAGCGGATACAACAGCAACATGGAGCATATCGAACACTATAGTTCCAGCACACTGAGAAGGCGGCGGGCGTTGAGCTTTCCTGTCCGTTCAAAGTCATCTTACAATATGAAGTTTGAAGAGGGGACCAGACCAAAGCGAGGCCAAAGACCTAGCCACGACCCTACAATAAATATAGATAGAAAAATAGCGATCGTCGGTATTGGATGTCGATATGCAAATGGTGTGGACAATGTTGCAAAATTTTGGGATATGTTGGCAAAAGGGTTAGATTGTTCAGTTCCACCTCCACCAGATCGGTTTGATACATCGTACTTTCTTTACCCTGGCAATAAAATACCTGGAAAAATGTACAACAAAAATGGTGGATATTTGACTCATGACCCTAAGGAGTTTGACAGACAGTTCTTCAGGATGTCCCCAGGTAAGCCAATCCTAGAAAAAAAGTTATGTATTATACATATAAGCATTGAAAAATATTGTAAGCTGTTTAATGTATTTGTTGTGTTTGTTTCTTCCCAATTAGAGCTTTAATTAATTAATATTAATACAAAATTTATATTTTATCATTTTAGAAGAGGCAAATCATCTTGATCCACAAGTTCGCCTTCTTTTGGAAGTAGTTTGGGAATCTTTAGAAAACGCGGGAATACCAGTATCGTCTGCACGAGGGTCAAATACAGGCGTGTATATTGGACTAACAGCAAGCGAATATGGAATACTTACTAGTATACCCAATGAAAACATCAACCAATATACAAACTCTGGAATAAACTCCGCAATGGCTGCAAACAGAATTTCGTATGAATTTGATTTTCACGGTCCTAGTTATGTGGTTGATACAGCCTGCTCGTCATCTATGTATTCTGTTCATCTTGCCTGCGAAGCCATACGCAACGGCGACTGTGACATGGCTTTGGCAGGTGGCGTTAATATTTCACTCATGCCCGTAACTAGTATAGGTTTCTGTCAGGCTGGTATGCTTTCACCTGACGGTAAGTGTAAAAGTTTTGACAAGTCTGCTGATGGATATGCCAGGGCAGAGGGCGCTGGGATAGTAGTTTTGAAATCACTCCAAAGAGCTATAAACGATGGTGATAGAATATACAGTGTGATCCGCGGGGGAGCTCTGTGTAATGATGGTCGCACACCTGGTATTGCCAATCCCAGTTATGAGTCCCAAGTTGCTCTAATTGAAACTGCTTACCAGAACGCAAAAGTTCACCCAGAGGAAGTTCAATACGTTGAAGCTCATGGTACTGGCACCCAAATCGGTGACAAAACCGAAGCGAATGCAATAGGTCAGGCCATGGGTTTAAACAGGCGCCCTGATCAACCTCCCCTGTACCTGGCGTCCGTCAAGTCCAACTTTGGACATTCAGAAGGCGCCTCTGGAGTAGCAGGGGTGATAAAGACAGCTCTTAGCTTGTACTTTGAACAAATCCCTAAGGCTGTTCATTTTAGGGAAGGAAACGAAGCAGTTGATTTCGAAGGACTGAATTTGCGCGTACCAACTGAGCTCACGCGATGGCCCAAGGTTCGAAAACGACTCGCTGGTTGCAGCTCGTTTGGATTCGGTGGTGCAAATGCTCACATTGTGATGGAAGCTTACCCTTACTATGGACCAAGAATGCCAGATCCATCACATCGCATTGAGGTTCACAACAACCTTGACACTCCAGAACCAAGGATCTTATTTTTGTCAGCTGCCAATAAAGACGCACTTTTGAAACGTCTGGATGACTGGGTGACGTATTTAAACAATACAATTGGAAACGACCACAGGGCTTTTACAAATTCTCTTTATACAGCTTCTGTTCGGTCTTTTCACCACCAGTATAGAATGGGGATCATAGCTCGCTCAGCTAGAGAAGCTGTTGATCAGATTCGACTGAAGCTTGATCACGACCCTCGAGCTGCCACCAACGTTGTAGAAGGAAAAATGGCAGATGGTACATCGGGACATAGGCTGGTGTTTGTTTTCTCTGGTATGGGAACACAATGGTGGGGGATGGCCAGGAATCTAATGGAAGATGAACCTGCCTTTAGAAACATTATTAAGGTAAGTCTGATTGATAGAATCCTTCATCAGTTAAAACATGTAATATTCGTATACAAATAAAGATCGTCTTTCAGTCTTGATTAAAGACTTGCTGTACTTATTTTCATAATTTGTCTTCCTTCCCTGCACAAAAAGTTGCTATATAATCGAAGAATAGAATAAAATAAAATTTGAATATTCAAAATCTATTTTTCATATTTGTTTGATATGCATATTGCATATATTGTTTTTAAAAAAATGTCTATAATATGAATTAAGGAGTGGTTAACGCAATAACACTTGCCTGCTACCTGACATTCTGTATGTGTCCTTTTAATATTTGCTGTTTCTGTATTGCATGTTTGTAAACCCCCAAATTAAATAACAAATTTAAAGTACAAATATACCTATAATTTTTATTAAAATTAATACCATTTTTCATTACCTTATCTGTTGCAGCGCATCGACAAATCATTGACCAAGTGTGGAGCAAAGTGGTCACTCGTCCACACATTAACCAAGGAAACAGACAAAGAAACTGTTAACATTACAGGTAATTTTCTATCTGTCACGGCCACTGTATCATAATTTATACTGCAATAGTTTTATTTATGTTTCATTATATCTATTTGGCGTAGTCACAGATCAGAAGTCACAAATGTGGAATCACCACTGTCGCAAGACTGTCGCAAACGGACGTACAGCTCACTCTTAACAATCAACACATAAAATATCAATTAAGAGCCTATAGAAAATATTAAGAAACTGATTAAAACTTTAAACGAATCGCTTCTTAAAGTCGTTACATTGTATTACAAAACATCTGGTAATATAACAATGTTAACATATTGTTTAAACTGAATGTACGTTTAAATGTAATTCAAATTTTATTTAACGAAAAGTCGGCATACAACAGAACTTTTTGAAGATTTAACTAGCAATTTGCAAATATATATAAGAGAAAAACATTGTTGGGCAAGTTCTGAAGTTTAAAGTCGGATACTTAAGTAATACAAATTATTGCACTCTGTTTTTATTTAGTTATTGCCTATAAAATTCGAAGTATTTTAAAATATAATTTTTGTTTCCACAGAAATAGCTCAACCGTCAATATTTGCCGTCCAGATAGGTTTAGCAGAATTGTACCGTCAACGAGGTGTGACACCGGATGCCGTGATTGGCCACAGTGTTGGAGAGGTTGCCGCTGCTCATGTAGCAGGGCTCATAACATTAGATGATGCCATCAAGATAATTTATCACAGAGGACGTCAATTACGCAAGACAACTGGACGTGGTTCAATGGTCGCCGTTCTGCATGCAGTAGAAGAAATTCAAACCCGTCTTGATGGCAGTGAATATGTTAGTGTTGTTGACGTTGCTGCTGTTAACAGCCCGACTCAAATAGTATTATCTGGAGAAACAGAAGCCCTGTCAAATTTTGCAGACACACTGCGCCAGGAAGGATTACGTTGTACGCGTTTGCACGTTGCAAACGCCTTTCATAGTTATCAACAGGATCATATACGTAAGGACTTTATAAAAAAAGTTAAGTTCCTATCTCCAAGCAGCACCAATAGGCAGACGCTTGAGACAAGCCCAATTATTCCTATGATGTCAACGGTTACTAATCAGATCCTAACAAGAGATGACACAAACACAGGGGCATATTGGTGGAAAAACATCAGAGGACAAGTGAAATTTATGTCTGGTATTGAGAAGCTTCTTCAGGAAGGATACAATTGCTTCCTTGAGATTGGACCCCACCCATCTCTGTCACCAGCAGTAAGAGATGTAATTAATTCCAACTTGAACAGATCAAAGAATATATTTATTACTGGTTCTCTAAGGAGACCAACTGATACGCGAGATTTAGCAGACGATAGGGTGAACTTACTGCGTTCGCTAGCAAAGCTACACGTGGAGGGCTACTCATTAGAGCCAGAGTTGCTATTCAATGAACAAGAATACAAGGTTATGTCTCTTCCCACATACCCATGGCAGAGAGTTCTATGTAGTGCTGCAACAGAGACGGCTAAAGAATTGTTTTTGTTTCCAGTAAAAGACCATCCACTTCTTGGCAAACCACTAGAGACTTCCCACTTCCATGACGAGAGTACCTTAAAGGTTTGGCGATCTGACTTTACAATTGGGTCTGTGCCTTGGTTGAGAGACCATTACTTACAAGGCAGTGCTGTGATACCTGCAGCAGCACATACAGAAACTGCTCTAGCGGCGGCTCGTGCTGTCTTCTCTGAGGCAGACATCGTTACATTGAGATGGGTAAATTTTGAAAGATTTATCTTTACCCCAGATGTCAATGGTACTTTAGAAACTACAATCGAAATACGATCTAAAGAGGCAAAGTTTTCTCTCAGGAGCTACAATCCAACAGAGAAGGGATGGACGCTTCATGGTAGCGCCCTCATTGACATCATCGGCAAACGAAGACACTCAAGTTCAAACCTTCTAGAGCAAACAGAAGAGCTAGAGTCAAAACTGGCAACAGATGATATCAGAAGGAGGTGTCCAAGAGAGGTAGAGAAAGATGAGTTTTATGCTGTATTAAGAAAAGGCGGGTTTGAACTTGGAGAAAACTTTAAATGCGTCACCAAGGCGTACTTCAGTCATGACTATAACGAAGCACTAGTGTATGGAACTGCACAAGAAACTCTTGTCCGCGAATTTGACAATTTTGTCTTCCATCCTGCTTTTCTAGATTCTGTCTTCCAGGGAATTGGCATTTGCACTATGTTCCAAGAGCAACAGAAAGCACGAACCGAAAACTCGGGATTTTCAAGCTGGTTCAAAGTTCCACGGGCAGTAGAACGAGTATTAATGAAAGGTAAAGCCCCTGCAAGAGTTGTTTTCAACGTCCAGATGATGGTGGAAGGGGACACCACGGTTGGATACGTCGTCGTTGCTGATGCTGCAAATCATAAAATCTTTGCTCAATTTGATCGAATTATATTTGAGAACGTTAATTCACCAGAACCAGATGAGAGTATACAGCTTTGGAGACGCGAATGGGTTCCGGTTTACGTTAAAAAGGCTGACATTGAGGTACCCACTGCATCCACCTCGAAGGGCAGACGATCCATCAGCTACATTCCTAATCACCCAGAAGAAGCTGGCGCAATAGTAATATTCAAAGACAAAAATGGAGTTTGTTTGGATCTAAAAAAGCGTCTAGAAGTTGAGAATGTTGTTAGCATGCTTGATCCACGAATTTTAGCGGATTCCGACGAACGCTTCCGTCGGGTGTTGCGTTCTCTTGGTATGGTGACCGATTTGATTGTTCTCTCCACGTTAGATGTCAGGGAACTAGGCTCGATAGATGCCATTACTGAAGAAAACTTTGATGAGGCCCAAAATATAAGCGCAATCGCACCACTAAGTCTGTACAAAGCCGTAAGCAAGCACGACGCCAAGACAAAGCCAAGGATATGGCTCGTCACTCGAAGTGCACATGCCGTCCTTGATATAGATCCTATTGATCCGATGGCCTCCACAGTGCAAGCATTAGGAATGACACTGATGCACGAAGATCCAGAATTACAGGTCTTTACAATAGACCTTCCTGCACACATCGATCAAGAGGAATCAGCTATATGGCTGTACAACTATATGAAAGCTATTCCAACAGATGAAAACCACGTTGTAATGAGAAGACGGGTTCCACGACGACCGTCAGCAGATTTTCCAAGGGAGATGACCTTTGAAGTTTATTCTCCAAGAGTTGTTATGGAACCACAGTCAAGCTTCTCTGCTCCGACACTATCTTCAAACTGGATCGTCAACCTTGAGCAATCACTAAAAGCCAAACGCCTCCTAGTAAAGCAAGATAGTGATCCTCCAGTTGTCCGTCGGCCAGAAGATGTTCTTGTAAAGGCCGGGGCATTCGCTGTACAATACCAATATGATGAGCCTGATGGTAACAACCTCCAAGGATATCTGTTTGCTGGAAAAATAGTTCATTGCACAGAAGAAGTTCATGTAATGCTTAGAACAAGAAATACTGTTCTTGGATTTAAAGCAGAAAGTGTAGTTACATCTACAATATGCACTGCTGCTAATGAACTCGTTCCAGTTCCAGGAAACCTCACACCTACCGAAGCTATCAATATTGTTAAAGATTACCTTCCAGCATTTGTTGCATTTCATGATACACTGAAATTGAATGAAAATGGATCAGTTATTGTTTATTTGTCCTCACTGAGTGACAGAATAGGCCTTGCGACGACCCATTTAGCTCTAGAACAAGGTGCCAATGTTTTTATTCACGTTGAGAACGATGAAAATATATTTCCTGTGGAGAAACTTCTTGGCATTCTTGGTGATTCACGCGTTGTTATTACATCACCTGATAACTTTGAAAGTATGATCCAGGACAACGAGGTCGATGTTCTTCTTTTGGCTGGTGGTATGATTGATAATGGATTCCACCTTGACAGACTCATTGCCAAACTTAAACCATTTGGTACGATTGTGCAAATTCCAGGAAAGAATGGTGAGAATGAATGTAAGATCGGAGTACTTCCGCCGAATATTTACTTCATCGGCATTGACATGGGTCTCGGAAAGTATGATCAGATGCGTGTAAAACTTCAAGATTCAATGACACGTCTGTTGCAGATGTTTAGTGTCCATAATGACTTCCAGGCTCTCAAGTCTCTGGCTATTCCAACTGCGCAGATGTCAAAGCTTGCAAAGGCAACTCATGCTTCTCTTGACGATATAACCGTCTGTGTTGATGAAGATAGTATCTCAGCAACCCTCAAATTCGAAGATATCGGATTCCAAGCCAATCCAGATGCTTCATACCTGGTGACTGGTGGGTCCAAAGGTATTGGTCTTGAACTTGTCGGTTGGTTGGTCAATAGTGGAGCCAGCCACATATATGTTGTTTCAAGATTTACACCTGAAGAAGAGGCGATAAGTCGCTTCAAGGTGTTTCGGGATAGTGGCGCTAGGATAACTCATCTCAAAGCTGACTTGATGAGGTTTGGTAACCTTGAGAAGGCTCTTTGTGCTATCAAAGACAATGGAGAACTACCACTCGAAGGAATTTTCCATTGTGCTACAGTTTATCACGACATGTCTTTAAGGCAAATCCAACCAGACAGATGGAAGGAAGTAGTGGCAACAAAGGGTTTTGGCGCTCTATCACTTCATCAACTAAGCATGCGTATGAATCTGCCTATCAAGTATTTCGTGATGTTTTCTTCAATAGTGGAGATGATAGGAAACGGTGGGCAGGGATGCTACTGTGCTGCAAACGCTTTTCTGTCATCCCTTTGCAGTATGAGGCGGAAAATGGGCCTACCAGCCACTGTGATATGTCCTGGTGTTATCAATACTGCCGGATTTGCTGCCAGAAAAGGTTATATAGAGCAGTGGGAGAAGAACGGATTGATGAGCATATCTCCCTCGGATGTTCTCAGAGGACTAGGATGTATGCTGGTTACGGACTATCCAGAGCTTGGATTGACAGGACCTGTTAACCGCAAGATGTACGCCGAAAATAACCGCGTCATGCTTTCCCAACATTTCAAAGAAACAACAGGTACAATATCTATATTTAAAAATTTATTCCCAAGCCGAGATACGTTTTTAGCTACAGAACATGACCTTAAGATGAAAATAAGACTCTTGTCTCCAACCGAAGCAACTAATATGATCATGCAGACAGTATCGAACCATATTGCTCAGCGACTTGGCATCACCAACGATATATCTGAAGATTCCTCACCTATTGCTCTAGGTTTAGATTCGCATATGTCTTCAGAACTGAGCAGTGTAATTCATGAAAACTTTGGGGTGTCAGTTGTGTCTATCGAGCTCCTCAATGATAATTTAACAATGAGGAATCTGACACAGTCTATTTACAAAAAGATAATGTCAGGCGCTGGTGAACAAGAGGAAGACGAAGGAGCTGATCAAGCAATCTCTCCAGCTTCTGGAGATATTTGGTACCGAATCGACGACAGTATTACGGCTCCACAAGGACAAGTGGTTTGTTTTCCTTCTGTTGGTGGCGGCCCGTCTATGTTTATTCCTTGGAGAAATCTGTTTGCTCAGTACAATGTACAAACGATCATGCTGCAATTACCGGGATGGGAAGGTAGAGAACGTGAAAAGCCTCAGTATGATATGCAAGAGATTGTATCAAAGCTATCCGAAGTTCTCGCACCACGACTAATTAAAAATCGTTTTGTGTTCTTTGGTCACAGTCTTGGGGCCTTGATTGCTTTTGAGACAGCACATCACATTATGAAGCAGTTCAATTCAAGTCCTGTGCACCTGTTTATTAGTGCATGGTACGCACCAACCCTGCCTTACCCTCACCCTGATGAACTAGATGCTCCAACATCTGTCTACCGAAAGCTTCGACGGGTGATCTCTTCACGGGGAAACGTTGCGAAGAACCTTGAACAAGAAAATGTGAAGTTCAGCTTCTTGGATCAAGCCACCTTAAACAACTCGCGTCTTATGAGTCGAATGATACCATCAATAGAGGCGGCCATCATGACATGCAAGAAATACAGATGCCGTCACAAGGATCGGCTGCCATGCAATATTACCACTTTTGGTGGAAAAAGTGATCCATTTATCAATCCGAGCCTCCTGGACGATTGGCATTTGCAGCAACAAGAGGGCAAGAAATTTAAGAAGATCATCATGCCTGGAAAACACATGTTCATCAACACAAATTGGAAGACCATTGTAAAGGAGGTCGGGAACTCACTACCAGGAGTTAACATTAAAGTGGGTACAATAACGAGAACAGGTGCAACATCTGTTAGGAAGTAAGACTATGATATTGAGAGAGATATTGGAAAGGGGATTCAAATATTTATTTTATTATTTCATAATGTTAAATACTGAATAAATTGAATGCACTAATTCAGTAATTTAATGAAATCATGTGATAATACAACGTTTGCCTATACCACTAAAACCGAATATCCATTAAGGCAGTGGGTTTTCTGTTAGATAAATCATTAAATGAAACAGACAGCACGTTTATTATATAATTTCATTGGAAGTATTAGGAAGATAAACTGTAAATTATACCATATGAGTACAGTTATATATTATCATCTTTTTTGTACATCTCAACTTGCGTAATTTTAATTGTAATCTGTATAATTACTGTATAATTTTACCTTGTATAATAAAAAAAGACGAATGGACATCGCTTTACAGATTAACAAACTTTAATTGAAATAAAAACGTTCTTGTTTACTCTGCTAATAACATTTTGATAGGCGAATAACATTTAAAAATGCAATGATAAAAGCTATATCAAACGAAGGGTGGAATTATTGGCATACTGTTAACATTGGGAGAAGCAACTAATAAAGTAATAAAAACAAATGAATAATCGGGTTCTACTTCTACACTTTTGGAGTCCTTAGAAGGTCAGCTTTCCCACCTAATTTTCACAAATTGCTTAACTATTACCGTGTTAAAAAAAATGCTATTCACCTATTGAGGACAAAGTGCACATTTCTGGATCTGACAATTAAGCTTAAGATTTGTTATTAGGACTATTTTTGCATTGATATTTTTCTTTGTATCATACAGATTCTTCCAGAATCATGAATATGACAATAATAATAAATAAATAAATAAATAAATATAAATAATAATGATAAAAATAATTATATTAAAAATAACAATAAATAATAGCAATAATTATCATCATTTTATCTAAACTTCTATCACCGTTACATTATTTTTAGATAAACATTTCTTTTTATCTTTGATAAGATGCGACAAAGTTTGAATAGTATTTGTTAAAATTAACCGGATTGGCTTTCCACATTGCAATTTAAATGTATTTATGTTTTATATTTATTATTTATTGTAATTCAACAGAAATATTTTTTATTAATGAAAGCTAAAGTTGATTTTATAAGATACTAGCTACATTGAAATACAGTATTATGTGTTACTTTGAGGGCATAGCCATCCACAAAATTTCATAGTTATATGTTACATACAATTACAAATGTATTATAAAACTTGTTTACCACATCATTTTTATTCTTAAATGGTTTATTTTACCAGTCGTATCTACTGTAATATAAATATTGAAATATTAATGAAAGAAACAACACTTTATATTTTATATAGCTTATTTAAACGAAGTATATTTCAGGGGCGGATCCAGAAATGTCCAAAAGTGGGGGGGGGGGGCGAAAGTTGGGCCGATTGAAAAGTTAGGCCGATCGAGACAACGCTGACCTAGGGGTCCGGAGGCATGCCCCCACGAAATTTGTGTTCTAGACGCCCAAACATAACATTTGAAACTTTCTGGGCTATAATTTTTTTCTTTTTCTCTCCCTTTTTTCCATTTTTTTTACCTCCCAAAATTCGGGCCGCCCGCCCCCCCCCCACCCCTAACTCTTATACACATCTAGATGTGTATAAGAGAAGTTGCCTGTAGTGCATCACGAAAATACTGTGAAAACAAAAATTCCTTCTACTGGAAAATGTTCAATACAGTACCTTTTTTAAATATAATTTGTAGTAGAGCCTGCATTCTTCATTAATGCCTGTTAAGATTGAGAATCTAATCTTCCTGAGATTGTTATACTGGGATTGCTTATGATATGTATGTTTTATTCAATGTTTTTTGAGAATATAATATATTGAGCTTGTTATACAGGGATTGGTTCTGAGCATTATCTACCTTCGCCTCTCTACTAATAAAATGTACTTACTATACATGTGTGTATGAAAATAGGAATATGAGAATACTTCTTGTTTTAAATGAAAGAGTATAGAAAGTGTTTGAAATATGAGAAAATGTAAAGCTCTGTTGAAAAACTGTATGCCCTGAAAATGTGACATGCCTATATATGGTTGTGATGACATAACATCATGACCATATTTAGGCATGTCACAAGTTTTTGTTAAATAAAATTTGATAGTCTGGACAGGGCTGAAGTTTGAGTCTATAATTAGAAACTATATTACAAATACAATATGTTAATACAAATAAAAGAAAACAAATGTTAATATTTGTGGAAATTTCTTTTCTTTAATACTATAATTTGTAGTACAGTAGTTGTCTTTAAAAGCTGATAAAATTCCTTTCTTAAAAATGATCTGATTTATACAAGAAGTCCTATAATATAATAAACTAGAAAAAAATAATCCTTAATTTCTATGTAAAATAAGCAAGTGCAAGTAGATGTATATCATTGGAAATAGCATTCTGCAAATTCTCTAAAATCTGAAATATTGAAACTCTTTGTGTAACAATGTAGGGTGCTTAAATATTTATCCTGCTCTATTTAAAAAGTGAAAACATCCTGAAAACTTCCTTTCTTTAATTGAACATGATGTCCCCATGCCCCAAAAAAGCTGACACCTCCCTAGTCACCCCACCTGCCTTGAACATTTTCTAAGCAAAAATATGAGCTCTTGAAATTTATTTTCACGTCCCACTCCAATTTTTCTACTCATAGGTACGCTACTAGCATAGCCTAATTTAAATTTTATCTAGTTGATCTGGTACCGCAGACAATTAGAATGCATTGCATTCCCTCAACTTGCCATTATTGCTTTCTGCAATAATTATTAAGAATTATTATTATTATAAGAATTATTGCATAATTCTGTGTAATAAATTCCTACATTATTCTATATGCCTGCAATTGTCTGCAGTTTGTGTTGTCTGCTTTCTGCGACACCAATCAGGAGATTGTTCTTGGGTGTACATGTAAATGGTTGCATTGTCGTCATCCATACACGGTAACCATATTGTCTGGTGTAAAATAGTCTATCAGAATCGATACACGCCATACACAATTTTGCTGAAATTATCAAGACAAACAGAATTACTATACAGTTCAAAAACAAGAAAAAAAAGTTTTACAATTAAAAATAGACAAGTTTAATTTCTTTTGCAATGTAAATATAGATCTCTATTTCTATATATACAATATATACATATTATACATTAAACATTAAGGGTATTTCCAAATATATTACTCAATTCCCAACATGCTTTCTCAGGAAATTGAATTTTCGCTGTTATCAATTGACAAAATTTCTGTTTATCTAACAATTCATTTAGTTTAGAGAAAAACTGTTAAAAAATCTGGATCATGTGTCTGTATTATAATTCTATTTTCAACTACATTTGCTCACTCATCTTTAATCTATTAAAATACATGCATAACATTGAAAAAACTGTAATTTATACACTGTTTAATATGCTGGGCAGACAAGAAACGAGATAGCTTGATGCATGTTGGAAGTGTGAGTCAGCCGTGGGAAATGATCGCTTCCGCCATAAAATTAAAAGACGTTATGATCACATCTGTACGGTCAATGAGTAACATTGCGACAAAGAGAGAAAACCTATAGAGCTACATAAGATGATTTTATTAACGGTCACATTAATTGGAAGGATGTGAAAATCTATCGCACAAACTGGATGTTGAGATAATCAAAATATTGCAATTATTGAATAACTAGATGGATTTGTTGTTGAGAAGTTGTGGGGCCAATTGGTGATGAGGGCAAGATTTAGGGGAAAGGCAAATGGTGAGGGTAGGATGTTGTAGGAGACAAATTAATGGTGAGGGGAAAATGTGGTGGGGCCAGCTGATAATGGGGGAGGATGTTGTTGGGTTTGGAGGCAGTGTCATGTGACATTTTGGTTGTTCACTGATTGGTTAATAATAGCTGTCAAATAAATTCCCAAGCCCAGTACACACTATCAAATTTTCTTTGACAAAAAACTGTTATATGCCCATATATGGTTATGATGTGCCTATATATGGTCATGATATGATGTCATCATGACCATATTTAAGCATACCACATGTTTTATCAAATAACATTTCTGATTCTGGACAGGATTTTGTATTGAAAAAAAAAAGTTTTTGTATAATCAAAAGTATTCAGCCAAGTTTACAGTTATGTATATCAATATATTAATTATTTAAATTAAACTATCAACCAATCAACCAATCAATCAATCAATTAATTAATCAAAATAATAATAATATTATCTACCATATGGAACATCTGGTACAAAGTAAACTTTTTATAAGCCTTTCATTTCCTTAAACTTTTCAATTTTTACAAAAAAAAAACACCCGTTGTATGCCTACTGTATTTATAGTCATGATGTGCCTATATATGGTTATTATGATGTGATATTTAGGCATGTCACATGATTTGTCAAATAAATTTGGTAGTTTTTACATTAATCCAAAAATTTGTTTCTTAATCAATTAAGGATTGCCGTAAAAAGCACTGAATATGCCAATATAAAACCACTTGCATCTTGCTAAAAGTTGATAAAATATCTTTCTAAATAAAGCCATTCAATCTTTGCAAACTATATCAAGATTTTATACATAATATAATGAGTTGTGTTATATTGCAATGATATTTGAATAACGGTTTTTTTTTTATCTGATGGTCTCCCCTGTTTAATAATTTATTCAGCTATACTATAAAGCAGAAAATATATGTTAAATTGAAATAAATACATTTATTAATTAGACCCTCTGAAGTGGCTCTCATGGTAACAAGAATTTCCTGGCCATTTCTTTTGCCAAATTATATATGTACTATGCAAACGATTTATATTGATTGAAATTTGTATGGTTTAATCATTAATTAAGTCCTGTCCACGTGGCATGCATATGGTCATGATGACATCACATCATCATCATGACCATATATAGCCACCTCATAATAATAATAAAGTTCTTAACCGTTCTGAATCAACAGAACAAGTGGTTGTCATTGACTATCAGAGTAGTTGACAAGCTTCAACTGTGCAAAACAAAAGGAGGACCCAAGAGAAAAAAAAATAAATAATAATAATAATAGTGCAAATAAGAATTAAAGAAAACTAACTGTATGATTATGGGCATACAAATTTTTGTTGTTGTCAAATACAATTTAATAGTTTGGACAGGGCTCTACTCTGAGTCCGAGTCTCAAAGATCTTTATCTTTCAGGATATAAACAACATTACCTTCCTTGGCACGGTCGCTATCAAAATCCCAGGATGTGTGCTCTGCAGCATGTGCCAATATTCTGTAATCCTAGAAACAGGAAATAAAAGTATAACAATAACCAGTGCAGTTCCAGGGGTGGCAAAAAGGGGTGCTTGCCCCTCCAGAAGCAGTCAAAGTATCACTAAAAAAAGCTTATAGGACAATTATAGGTAAAACCGCAAAACCTTCACAATCTCTTAACCATATGTGTCGCCTCTTTTGGGCCATATGCCACCCTCCCTCCCCACCTTTTTGGAAAGTATAAAAACAAAAAACAAAAAGAAAGAAAGAAAAGAATATTTTGATCGTCCAAAATGCCTCCGAGGTTATTTCTGGGCATCTAACAAATACCCTAGTGTTGTAACTCAATTGCCACCCCTCCCACTTTAGGTCCTCCTTTCGGACATCTCTGGATTCAGGCCTAAATCGGGCCAAATAAAAAATGTGGGTCCACAAATGAGTAATATCCTCATTTTAGGACCCTCCAAGCACTGTTGTAAAAAAATGATGTTATAATAAAAATTATAATGATGTGTAATACATGTTTATGATAATAATGTAAATGATATTAATACTGTAATGTTTAATAACAATAATAATTATGGTAGTAATAATAATAATAATAATAATAATAATAATAATAATAATAATAATAATAATAATAATAATAATAATAATAATATACAATCCTCATACATTTTAGGACACTGCCAAGCACTGTTGTAAATAATGATGTTATAATAGAAATTATACCATGATGTATAATAATACATGATAATAGTTTAAATATTATTACTGTTTATAACAATAATAATTATGGTAGCAATAATAATAATATTTAATGACAATAATAATAATAATAATAATAATAATAATAATAATAATAATAATATTAATAATAATAATCTAATAATAATATTTTATAATAATTTTAGTAATAATTCTAACGATATCATACCTCGTAAGAGATTGGTCGATTTCGTAGTTTCTCACTTCTTGGATAGGTTATGACATGGGTGTCCCGAACAGCGCCATAGCAACAAGGGCTGGAGGCAAATGAGGCATTAGTCTGCACACATCTTGTTATCACCATATCAGTAGCAACTCCACAGGCATGCAATGATACCTGCAAAAATTATTTTTAAGAATTTAATTTTTTGACCAGGGAAATGCTAGAGATATATTGGTTAATCCGTTTCTCTTTTTAAGTATAATATTGATGTAATGTACTGTTTATGTTGTTTTTTTTTCTTGGTTATATTGGTTTATGGATAAAAGAATTCTGAAATAAAACTTGAATTGAATAAAGTAGGGGTGGGCTTATACTTGAGGTAGGCTCATACTTCAGGTGGGCTTACATTTAAGGTGGGCTTATACTTGAGGTAGGCTTATACTTGAGCTAGGCTTATACTTGAGGTGGGCTTATATTAGAGGTGGGCTTATATTTGAGGTGACTTATATTTGAGGTGGGCTTATACTTGTGGAGGGGCTTATACTTGAAGTGGACTTATACTTGAGGTGGGCTTATAATTGAGGTGGGCTTATAAGGTGGGCTTATACTCGAGGAACTATGGTAATAATTTCACATATATTATTAGAAATGCAGGTATAAAAACATAATGTTTACATTGTTGCTTTTTATAAATTTAAGTTTTTCTTTCTTTTTGTAAAGATTTTAAAGATATTTTGTATGTACTGTACCCTGAAAAATGTCAAAAATCCTAAAAAAAATGTTGATATTAACTTTTAATCACTTTAAAGTAATATGACAATGATAAACTGGAGGGTAAGCATTTGTAAAATTCACCAATTTCTAAGTTCAAATTATTTTATTAGTTATTATTATTTCTTAAAAAATTGTGTTCTGGTTATTTACTACTGTTTTCATTTTCTTTTTCATTTTCATTTTATGTCGGATTATATTGTCGCTTTGTATTCGTCCAGAATATTATGTCACAGATGTTGACTTGTGTGGGGTCTTTGTTGTGTTGTCAGCTTTAATGGACTGGGTTGGCTGGCTGACATCTCGTCACGTAAGTCAGCTCTCTTGCCCTCATGATCATTCTTTACAGTGAGGACATACTGGAAATTGTGTTTGTAGCACATCATGTTGTTTTAGAATGCGGGGAAATGATGCAACATAATTTTTTTTTTTTTTTGCAAGTTAAATCTTAAGATGTTTCTTTTTTAATTTATCCAGGGGTATTAATCTATTTAAATTGTTAGCATCAAGCACATTATCATTATAATCATCATCAATGCTAAACTCAACAAGACTTCTCCAATCGGATTGATTGTTAGCCAGCATGTGCATACCAGGGGTCCAAGGTGCAAAAAAGCTACCAGTCTGTTAAAATAAATTTTTTAACACATCCATTTCTATCTTGAGTTTTGTGATCACATCTGCAGTGATGTCCACGAGACAATAGATAATACTGTAAATTGTATCATGAATTTGTAGGAGATTCTTTTGCGACTTGTGGGACACTTGAGACCCCTGGGATAGACCCATTTATTTTTATTTTTGCATGATTTGAAGTCGTCCTCTTGGTCGCCTGACTTTTTTCAAGCACATCATGGATCATTAACATGAAAAATACATACATAAACATAATTTAATTTATCATCACTAATGAGAAAGAATGATGTGTAAGTTCCTATAGAATGACTGGGTGGATGTCCACGAGACATTAGGAAAACGCAGTCGATTCGCATCACTGCACATGATCAAATATTATTACCTTCAATCCATGTACAATACATCAGATTTTTTGGTTCAGAATTGAGAGCCATGTCTAAATTTGATTCATTTTTGTGGCATACATATCTGGGGGGGGGGGGGGGGAGGTGCACTTCTCCCACTGAAAAAGTCCAAATATCATGGAAGTACAGGTAGTAGTTAAGAATATTCCTTTATTTTGTGACCTGGCACTCGCTCAGTTATTCATCGAGTCCCCACTACACCTTCGCACCCCAACATCCCCCTACTTCAAGACTCCCTAGAAGCACCACTGACTTTGGCAAAAAAAAATCATAATATACCCATATTCCAAATATCCAATACCCACTTTGAATAGGTTTTTTTTTAATGGAAGTGTATCTATATGAAAAGGAATAGGGTTTTTTTAGTGAAAGAGTATCTATATGGAGACAACAACTTAACATCACATCAGGACATTGTCAAAAATGTTTGGCATTATTAACAGGACTCGAACCAGGAATCATAGTCTCTAAGCCTGATCCATGGGCTACCTTGCTATAACAGCCTAAACACATGGTTATAGTATCTTTCCCACAGACACACTGTAAATTATAGCATGAATCATAACTGACTAGAGCAGTCTTCCATAGACGCCATACTTCTGCCCTGTACCTGAATACAGTACAGTACTAACAATATGATGGGCAAAACTGTAGGATACCCTCAAGGAAATAATGGAATCGGCTGTTGTATTCAGGCACATTGTTTTCTTGATGGTGCCTGAGTATGTGGGGCAATTCCATTATTTTTTTTAAGCTCAAGGAAGAAAAAATTGAATTTCAGTGCCCTTGATCTTGTCCTTTGACCTTTTCTTCCGAACATTGAATGGTGTCTTTCTTTGATAATTATGTACCATTCCACTAAATTTTATAATGGTCCGTTTATGAGTTTTTGCGTTATCTTTCACAGCAGTGAATACATAACAATAAAAATTGGATTACATTTTTAATCAGGTTTGAAAAAATAATTGCATATTTTGAAGATTAAAAAGATTTAAGTGTTGCTGCTTACATAGTAAGCTTGCCTCAATCATAATCTTTCATAAACTTAAAATTATTCATATTAAATCATACAAATATAAATGATATGTATTCATTCACTTTGGATGATTGACTTTTTTTTATCTATTGCAAAGGATGTAAAAAATTATAGCTCAACCAAGAATTTTTTTTAGATTTGAGAAAAAATGTGCTAAAAGCAAATGTTACTTTGAATTTCAAAACTGCTGTTTCATGCAAAACAAAAATTGGTTTTCTTTAAAAGATGTAAATGAAAACAGTATTTCATATGAGATTCATTTGCAAAAATGAACAAATAGTAAATACACACAAAAAAAGCCATTACCTCTCAGATTCAGTTGATAATATTAACATGTTTCTGGTTTATATTATGAACTAAAACAGATGCCATAAAATTCCTTTGTTTATATAATTTACAGCAAATGAGTATGCCTATAGAATGGCAGGTAACAGTAAGGAATGGCACTGTTAAAAGTCCTTGTCTAAAGGAATTTTCAATATTGATGGCGCTATTTACATACTTCTAATCTAAATAACAGGTCAGTTTATAACAGGGATGTATTATCTAGTGTTATTATAGAGGGCGATATATACATATTTCTAAATACTTGCAGTAAATTTTTTTTATCTGAAAATATTAAAATTGTTGTGTACTGTAAACGATTTGAGGTGGTCTCTTTCGTCCTAACTCTTGTTGAAAAAGGTAAACATTCTATTTGCCCATTCCTGTGACTATTTGAGATGCAGAACCAGGCAAAAGAGCCATAGGGTTGATTAAGTCGAGTGTCTGAGCGGTAGGGCAGGGGTGCCCGCTAACTTAAGCCTTAACATTGGTGCTGGTTCGAGCTGCTTCTTCTCAGATAAGGACTTCAAATGGAGGTCCAGTGTACACAACTGGCTAGTGTGCACTTTAAAGAACCCATTGCACTTTCATAAGAGTAGGGGGACCCTGATGCTATAGTTCATCTCAGTTCCTTTCACGGAATGATGTGAACATGTAGCTACTATAAGCACCTCTTTACAGCGGCTAAGTTGTCACGGACCACGCCCATATGCAATATAGCACAATGAAGCTGCGAGTTATAAGTTATTCTCCTATCTGCAGTACCTTTATCCAGTGTCTAAACCAATGGTACAACTGAGGGGTAGGATTATATATCTGGAACCTATACCCCTTTACGGAAATTTGATCAAGCTTACAGTCACATGACCTTTACGACGTCAAAAAAAGGAGAGAATATTACACACAACACTCGTTGTGTTACAACATGTAACCTGAACCATCCTGACTTGAAAACCGGCTTCATTATGCATTGATATGTTAGTCTGTTTTGGCGAAAATAATCTTAACTATTACATACTAGACTAGTTAATATCCATTTTCCTTTTTGAAAGGACAATCATTTTGATGTTTGTTATTACGACTCTTGATGTTGATCTATTCATTCAGGCAGGTTCCAGGATACATGAGTGCTGTGTGTAGTATCCTGTTCTTTTTAGAAGTCCCCAGGTTGCATGACTACAAGCTTGATCAAATTTCCGGAAAGTTGTAAGGCTAGAAAATCTGGCAAACTGACGGTGGATACAGGTAAAAACATCTGTCTCATTTGAAGTTTCAGACCTGTTTAATGTTTAATAATAAACAATTCAATGTTATAGGAGTGATGTTTTGCACTATCTGACATGTTATCGTATCGAATACGCAGTACGTTCCCAAATACTTGCAAAATAGCATTTTCAGTGCCCACACTTCTACTTGGGGACCAGATTCAACACCAGGCACTAAGCGAAAGCTCGGTATAGTCTTGTGGCTATGGCACCAGACTAGTTATCTTGAGGTTGTAGTTTCGATTTCCATTTGAATCACTTTTTTTATTAGTATTTGGGAACGTGAATATACACGTGAGGTAGGGCAAAACATCACTCCTATGATATTTTTCTAAAGCAAACTCACATCGAAATATCAATTTAATGTTGTATTATACTATCTGTATTAATCAAATCACCGCATGATCTTACCCCTATGTTGAAGCTTCCATGATAGTAATCAATATTTCCAAGGTAGAATGTGGCATTTTTTAGTCCCAATTCTTTTACTCGGTTCAGGCCTTTAGTAAGTGAAACTTCCTTACTTTCAACTAGTATAATATGGCACTCTGGTAAAACAGAAGCTAATACTATGCCAAGATGTCCCTGTAAGAAAACACATAATTATAAGCAAATAAATACTAACAACAATACTAATGAACAGTCATAATAATGAACAATCATAATATAAAAAAAACCCAATTGGTACCTTTATCAGTCTTTATAAGCTAGATATTAATGATTAGCAATAATAATCATATTTGATTGGTGATGGACTTTTGACACTGGGTGGTTGCACCATTTTAATGGGAAAGTAATACATATTTCTTTGCATCATACTTCATGTAATTTAGTTAATAATTTCCATTAATCTTGTTTTTTGCATGCATTAAAATGGACACTCTTCCACTTGGAAGAAAGATAAGCCTTCATTTTGTTTTTAATAAAATGCTTACTGTAGAACTTATTTTTAGGTGTATTTTATAACACAAACAATTACTGTTTTCTAATAAGAAAGTATAATACATACTCCAAGTATTGAAATGTACACCATTCATTAATATTTGTTTTTGCATGCAATAGAATGGACACATTGTGATTCATTGAAAGATGGATTGTTCCATCCATCTTAAACTTGGATGTGCTTTGTTGAATGGAACAGTCCATCTTTTGTACTCATGAAATACCTTTCCCACTGCAAAAATACAAAATCACTCATACAAGATAAACAATTGACTCTCACCCCTCCACTACAAAAATCCACCACTTTGTCTCCTGGTTCAGCAATCAACTTCACAGCTGCAACGATGTTCTCAATCTGTTGACACTTTCGTTCTGAACGGCCACTTGGTACATCACCTATATGACATGAAAATGTGAACTGTCATTAAATGCGAAACATGCACTACAAAATATGGTTTATCTACCAGTATGTTTAAGTCAAGTGGCAGTACATGGATTTGCATGGCAGTGTGGAGATGACAAGTTTTTTGGAGGAGAGTGTAAGTGGGCACGGTTGGACATCGCTCAGAATCCATTGGAGGGGTCCAGGGGGCGAATGTTCCAGGCACTATAACAGTTGAGATTTCAAAGACTTCCTTAATCAATATTTAATTTAGCAATTTGTTAAAAAAAACATCATTTGTTTTCTCCCAATTGTAATTTTTCTCATCCTTCTCTCCGCTTTCCTAGTCCTCCACTGGTGCCATTGCTGCACAAGTCTGCTAAAGACTATTCAATTCTCTCAATCCTCTGCTGTCTCTGCCACTGTCAACGTCTCTCCATGTTCTCATTACAATGAAAAATTTGATTGGAAGTTGAAAAGTTTTTAGTCACAACACAAATTATATATAGAGGGCCCTAGATTTGGATGGTAGTAATTTTGAAAGCTTGATGGTGTATGTATGCAAGAAATAAAAGAGCATGTGAACTCTTATTCAACAGCCAAAATCTTACCATTGTTCGCACTTGGATTAAATGACCCAGTTAGTTTTAACATAAGCCATAGTAAAACTAACTGAGTTGTACTGAAATCCACACGGCGGTAAAGGACATCAACTTCAGTGTTTAACCTACTCGTGCTGTTTGTACTGGACTTTTCGTCTTGGTAAACTAGCTTGGTTAGTTTACCATGGGCAAATGGTAGTTGTAAACTAACTGTGCGGCTCGGGTAAGTTACCTGAGAGGTAAGTGTTCTGGGTTGTTCGTACTGGACTTAATATGGGTAAACTAAACAGTTTAATAAGTCCTGTGCGATCACGGCTTAAGTGACAAACTTTGTGAGACAACCAATAGTTGGATACTTACCGTAAGCAGGATGAACTTGTGGAGGAAGCTCATCCCAGAGGATCTTGATGTTGGCAGATGGGTGATCCATATATTCAAGCACATATCCTCCATCATTTATAGTCTTCAGAAGAGTTGCCGCTTTACGCTGAATAGCCAATCGCATTCCATGTCTGATAACAAAATCACTTTATGTTTAAAGCAAACTATTATTATCGATATTAACCATTTCCACCAGGGAATATTAGGCCTTCGCTAAAGTATTAAACTAAATAAATGTATTTTTACCATTTTATAACAAAATTGTATAATTATTAATAATTTGATTATTTACAGAAGACAACTATTAGAAAGGTACTGAAAGTAATTATGTGCTCTTACAGCAAAGGTTGCAGATACAAAACTGCTGATTTATAATTCCCTGTTATTAAGTGATCAAATCAATCAAGCAAGAACTGAAAATCGGTCAAAAGAGCTGAGTAACTTTGAAAACCGTTTACTATCCAACTAGGTCATCAATAAAAATAAAATAAAAATAAAAAATAAAAATACTATGATGAGCATTATATATAATTGATACTCACTTTGACACTGGTTTTGCTTCTTTCATTCCAGTACCTTCACTATTCGGCACTTCTATTTCTGGTTGTGATTCATCATCACTGTTGGAAATCATTGGCAGGTCTTCTGTGGGAATTACCATTCTCATTCCACAGGCTTCAGCACATTCTTTGATTTCTGGCAAGTTCCACATTCTGTGGTACCACTTCAGGACCAATGGATTTTTCTTGAACATAGCCATGTGGCCATTTTGCATTGCTTTATAAAGAAGATGGATACATGGGAATACCACAAGATCAGTCAGTGTCATACTGATTCCCTCTGCAAATATATGTTCTAGTTCAGGTAAACTCTCTTCAGCAGCCCTCTTTAGTTTAGATTTAATACTTAGTTCTGATGATGCAGTTTTAATCTGAAGTCTTCCATCAGATCCTGAAGCCAAATCTATGTGTTTATTATCTGGTTCCTCACAATATTGTACATTTCTATGTTTCTTGAGAAATCTATCTTTCTTACTTTCTTCTGAGCTATAACTGACTACATCAGATTCCTGTCTAGAAGCAGTTTCTTCTGATGACATTCCAGAATTAGAAGTCTGAGATACTACATCTGTAGTATCTGTCTTCTCTGCCACAATTTTCCTAAGTTTTCGTTGATGTTTCTGTTGGTTTGATATCTTGACAGGCAGAGATAAGCACTTCTCAAGTTTTCGGATAGACACTGGAACTGTGTCAATATTATGCAGACAGTTTTGAAGATCAGCAGGTAGATCTATCTCACAGTACTTAGTCCAACTGCTACCTTCTGCAAAACCTTTCAAACAATTTTGTTGGAACCCCTGAAATTGATTACCAGTTTCATTTAAAAGATGACAAAGTGAAAGAGAGAAACTATAAAATTGAATAAAGTAAATTTTCGCAATATTACTCCTTACTTATCAACAATAAAGCACACCCTGAATCTGTGATGACTAAAAACATACCAATTTGCTCTCTCAGCATGATGATCCATTGGGCCAACTATACATGGTTAATATTAGAAATAATAACACATTAAAAAAAAAATTTTCTGCCAACTGTAGTGCAAGTCAGATGTTTGTCTTCAATAATGTGACCTCTTTCTATTTAAAATATTATAGAAAAACATGCTATGATTTTATGTGTAGATTGGAAAAGAGTACAAACAAGTTCAGTTAAAACTGTTTATCAATACTGGGCTGCAATCGAAACGAATGGCTCTCCTCAGGGTTTAGTGTACTTTTCTTTTAATATTTCAATGATCTTGTTTTCTGCATTTGTCATATTCTTTTTGCATTTTGTATTTTATATAGCCTTTTACTGCTAAATCAGATTTGATGATTACGGCAATATTTGGTTGGTATGAAAGGTCCATGTCAGTAAGTGAACCAGTTTTATTTACCACAATACTGCAAGAATCTCTGTCTGAAAATGGCTTTAGATGTGGAAGAGGCTTTATATTATTGTGTATTAACCTGGTGTATTATAGGTACTGTAAATAGCAACGATAATCTAATGATAAATTTCAACTTATGCTAGTAAACATACAGTTAGCCATAAACCTGGCATGAAAATTAGTGATTAATAGCATAACAAAAACAGAGGTACAGAAGATTCACAGTAAGAAGGCCCAGCCAGCCGGGATTCCCATAAATTTGTCAAAATTATTTTTCTAAATGAAGAAAAAAAAAAGAAAAATTATGTTTAAATTGAAGTCTGAGAGTGCCATTACGGCCATTAAAAGTGCCGTAATCATAAATTTTCTTACCTCAACCAAAACCATTGTGGTGCTGAGGTGGATTCAGGGACGTATCCAGCGGGGATACGTCTGTGGGAGCCGCGGCTCCCCCCCTCTGTACACAGTGTAAAATTTTTAAAGCTTTTTTTTGAGCCAATACAAATTATTTTCTGGGACCACTCAAAATGAATACCTCTAAAATACGTAAAAATGCATCAGTACTCGTTTTACATAGGCCTGGCCTACTATAATTATAACACATGTCTAAGCATGATTTTTAAAAATCCATAAATCTCATGCCAAGTCTTTTAGGATACAGAAATGTGATACTGTATGGTTCAGTTTGGTTTTTACCCTTTTGCAAGCTTCTTTAAAGTAGGGCCTATTGTTTAATAATACTATACTATTAGTAATAATAATAATAGTAATTCAATTCAATTCAATAATAATAATAATAATAATAATAATGGTGGTGATGATGATGATGGTGATGATGATAATTGATAGTAATATTAATAATATTAAAATGTGAAGGAAATGTGCTAAAGGCAAAAAATAAAGTTGTGATTTGTTGATGATATTATAGTTAAATCTTATATAGTAAATTATAGTTAGGTCAAGTTGTCCTGGATATAAAGTAGATCCCTGATAAAGTACATGAGAAATTTGTTGGCGTTCCATTTTGACTATGTAATGGTGATGTGATGATGATGAATTTTACTACGTGAAAGTGTGATTTCCGGCCATCTAGAGGTATTACTTCCTCAAATTTTCTCACCTCAGCCCCAACTATAGTGGGGCTGAGGTGGTTGTGAAATCACGGTTTTGAAGTATGTAAAGAACACACTCAAAGACAATGTTTTTAAGCTTTGTTTTCTATGGTATATCACACACATTAATAAGATCTTTTTGGTTGCAGAAAAT